TGAGTCAAACTTGATTTGTTTTGCTACAAAATGACACCTCAACCGATTCTGTAAGCCTTCTGAATAAATTTCTATACACTTTCAAAGTTGTAAAGTCCTTTTTGAATCACCTGGTGTAAAAAATACACTGTTTTTAATAGCTCTTTACTATTCATAAATATATGAGAGATGTTCTTGCAGAACGTGTGGTTAATTTTTGCAGAAAGCAATTATCAGTTTGTAGACTAACAAACTTTGTTGTTGTTATGCTATGTATACATTGATCATTGTAACTTATTTGCACATGATTACTGGCTTGTTATCTTTACAACTTTCATGAATTTTGTTTTAAAAATTTAAAGAAATTAGTGATAATTAGGCTAGGAACATTAGAATTTAAACAGATAATGAGACTGAGTTAATATTGGGTTGGAAGTCATTAATATACAAGACAAAAGGGAGTGGACCAAGTAAAGAGGCTTTAGAAATTCAATTTTAAATTTTATTCCAGTTGTGGTAGGCATTATCAGTAGTATTTGGAGATTTTATTGCAAATAATTGATTTCTGTTTCTAAAATATTATTTATCATTTACTGGTATTTTCATCTGTTCAATAATAAGTTGGCTTAGCTTAGTCATTAATATTCTATTATTAACTCTGTTGACAACCGTAGCAAGATGACAGAAAACTCTTGATACATCACTTGTGTTACTAAATGCCTGTAATATTTCACAAATGAATTTGTAAATTTGAAACCAAACTGTTCCTTAACCACAATGCCATTGGACTTTAAATAGTATAAAAATCTTTAGTACATAACTTTCTCAATATTCAAAGAAAGTTGAAGTCTGATTTTTCTGTAATTTTATTTGAGATCTGAGGTTCACAGTTATAACACCTTCAAGTCCATATCGCCTTATTATCACAAGACCAGTATTATCATATAATTTTGTGTTTGAATTGTTGTATTTTATAATGTGTTGTGGCTTTGGTTGTGGGTGGCAATGTTCGTTCAAATAAAAACAAAGTTTTTCATTAAAAGTGATTATTTATTTTTGTTCTCTAATAAATGTTATGACATCTAAAGTCAAATTATTTTAAAATTCCCTTCGAATTAATAAAATCAATAAATTATCAGAAGCTAGTGTTACATTAGATAACATTATAATATACAGTGTAAGAGAAGTGCAACATAACCTATGAATTCAATTAGTTATCTGAAAAGGAAAGAACTGAAACAGCGCTTTCATGTTATTTCCAAGATACAGAAGTATAGTAACTTCTGCTAGTAGCTGGCACAGCCAGTAGGATTCACACTATAGTTGAAGAATCCAGCGTGTCTTACCACAGAATATAGGGAATATGATTCAGCAGCAATTATAGAATCATTTGGTTGCAAAGCAAATACATATTATTGTTTGTTAAATATGCAAATTGTACCATAGTTTTTGACAATTTAATTATTTAGTAGCTTTATTTAGTTGTGCCCATCACTAATCACAGTACAAATAATTATACATGGTGGTAGGAATTATTTTTTCTTGTATTTTGTCAATAATGTAATGCATTAAAACATTGAAAATAAAGTTTTTATACTTAATAAGTACATTTTATGTCATGTGGCATTTTTGGTAGGGAGACAATGAGACATCTTGAAAGAGTTTAGTTTGATATGAGCTAGATGAAAAATAGAGGTTATACTGGACAAAAATTAATTTCCTCTTCCAAAATCTTTCATATTTTCAGAAATGAAACATGCATGGGGATGGGCAGACATGACTTTCTCATCATGTAATGTTCTGCATTTTGATTCTGTGTAGATTTGTAGGTAGTTACAAACATCTTGGAGGAACATGCTGCCTCCATCCTCAGCCCTGAAGGTGGAGACAGTGTCTTTGAAATGTTAATACTTTGCTTCAATACCCAGAAGAGTGTCACATCTTCATTGCCACGTAAACCTCAAATCTCACTTCCAATGAAATCTTTATTTTACACTTTTCATGCAAATATGTATAAAAGTTTTTTTTCTTCTCCCAGGTTGAGGAAAACAGAAAATACCGGCTTCATGAGCAGTGGCATTACCTTCCAACTGTCATTGCAGTTGACCACATACGCAGACGCGAACTGTATTATCGTGGTTATTTGTGCAGAGGAAGATACATCCTCATTCCTTCAACATACAAACCTGGGGAAACTGGAGGTCACATGGTCCGTATGTTTTCAGGCTCAGATATTAATTTAAGGTAAGAAACATCTTTCTGTATATACTCTTGCATATTCTTGCATATCATTCATACATGCAAAACTATATGGAAATAATCATTTGGGATGATGCGCTGTTCAAAACACTTCAGAGTTTTAAACAAATTGTTCTATTAAATTTATTGCACTTAAATACTTTCTGGTGTATACAATACATCCATTTACTCCATTACAAAATCATTTTGCTCTCTTGCTATTGCAAGAATTTGAAAACAAGTTATAAAGTATCCTTTTCTTTCATCATGTCTGCCCATTCATAAGTAAACACTCAGAATATGGGTGATGTAACTGTGTGTTTGAGACATGCACTAACTGTTTTGATGCATAATTTTTAAGAAGATGGCTGTCTGGGTTGTAGTGCCTTTTGGTAGAAATGGTAAAAATTTACCAACATTTCAGAAGTCTTTGCTGCCTCTATCATCAGGGTGATGAGTAAGTCATGCATGTTGAATTGGTTGGAGATATAGGAAATTGACAGCCTTGAGGTCTGGCAGTCAGTGAGCACCACATCCAGGTGGAACATCCATTCAAATCTGCCATGGCCAAACATAACATCAACCTGGGCTACCTCATTCAGCTCCAGGACACCAGTCCTCTCCACCGAATCTAGATACATGGACTTGATGATCAGGGAGGTCATCAAGATGAACAACATAACAGGGAGAATGGCCTTAGCCTGAGCCAGTCAATGGATGTCCGTCATCCATTCTCTCAAATGACGCAGGAAGCATATGGTACAGTGTTACCAGTCCCAATTGGGTCACTAGGCCACTACACTCTCCTTTTGAGGACACAACCAGGCCCTGGACAGTCCTTATTTCCACTCTTGTTCCTCCTCATCACACCCACCCACTTCCCTTAGGTCTGGTGATCCACCTGCCAGAACCAAGGTTCTGCCTTGGATATCAGTTTCCTGTATTTCAATCGATTCCGTGCATGCAGCTTACTCATCTCCCTCATGATGGAGGCAGCAAGGACCTCTGAAACAATGGTATTTTTCTAACAGACTACACAGCACTATAACTCGGAAGACAGCCATCTCTGGACGCACCACTATGAAAACATAATTTTTGTTGGTATAATTTACTGATGTCTGAAGTTGTCTGACATGACCTCAAAGCTTAGTGAAAGTACATTTTATTTCAGCCAATATTACTTCTGTATATTTTTCCTCCAAAGGACTTACAAGCTTACTTTCCTTTAAACATTTTCATCCCTATACATAGGCAAGCAGATATTATAAATTCATAGTTATATAAATTAATGATCTATTTTTGTGTATAATTTTTATAGTGTTCACATGTCTAGCTCTAGGGGCTTGTTAGTCATCAGTATTGTACAGAAAGCTAAATATAACCTAAAAATTTTACCCCAGCTGAATTATTGTTCATATACAGTACTAATGACCTTAATGAAAGTTGCCTATTCTTCAAAGGTGTACTATTGTACATTTCAAAATCTGACATTAAATTACACCAGTATTGCTCCCACCTTGGAAGTTTGCATGGCTGTGATGTTGATATTGACAAAAAAGAAATGAATTTGGAGTAGTCTGTAACATATGGTGTAAAAACTTAGATTCATAAAAATCTATCCATTGGTCGTAAAGCTTTTGTGGACATAACATTATGGTACCACAAGCCTATCATGTCAAATAAGGAAAGTAGGCTAAAATAATTATAATAAGTATGGGTGAACAGAAATTAATGTTTCTTGTTCTCATTCTTTATTCTTTCTTCGCAGAGTTCTCAATCGTGACGAACCTCGCAGGAATATCTTTGCTTGCATCGGACATAAGTCTGTTTGGGTCACCGTCATCAACATCAAGTCTGCAGAAAATCTGAAAACAAAGACAGGAGGTAAGTGTCTGAAACTCATTTGTGTATGTAAGAAACTGCTCTTGTGTTAGTGCTAGATGATTGGATTTTTACCTGTGGCCTTTTCCATTGCATCAGGATTTCATGTTTATGCGTTAATGGGATATGCTGATTTTACACTTCCTCTTATCTGAGTATTCAGAACTGGTGTGTTTGATTCATTAATTACCCTAGTTAAAATTCACAGTACCATAGGACAGTCATTAATGTTAGGTGATCTCCATTTCCAGAAGCAGTAGGGTAGAAAGAGAACCCTGACACTTTTTAAATTTCAAAGTACGTTATTCGTTTTCCATATAAAATGCAAGCAAATAAAACCAATACATTGTTTTTGAAGGTGTATAGAATTTCATTGTCTGGCTTTTGAAATGCTGTAAAATGTCAATCCCAGAACCATCCATCACATTTGAAAATCACCATTTCTTGAAACTGTGAATAGTACTCTGGGTGGATGTCAAATTCCAAGCTTAAATTGCGGCTGACTGTAAGGCCTGAGGAGACTTGACTATGTGGCGTGTGTCAGTTTCTAAGCCTCATTATTAAACAGCAAGTTAAGAAATATTTTCATAGTATAACAATTGTGTTGCATTTACCAGAATTTGACCTTTGTGAATGATGCTAGTAATGCCAGAGTTTTCTGGGTGGCTGGGGATTCCTTGGGTAATTGTGCTAACCAAAGTAACCATGGAAACCAAAGTTGTCTTGGACATCCCCACCCAGTCACTTTTGCATGTACCAACACAGGTATCCATGCAAAGTGTCCATTATTGTTTATTTTTGACCACACTTGAAGTGCATTGATAAATTTTAGTCAAAACGGCAATACGAAATTTTGTCATCATCATTGAACAGTCAAGGAGTTAGGTCATATTGACCCGTTCCAGCCTTGTAGTCTAAAAGTCTATAAAATTTTTATGAAAATTTATTAAGCCATTCTCAAGTTGTTATATATAGATAAAGGAGAGTTAATAGCTGGATATTTCAACTTTTAACTGTGAACAAAGCTAAACACTATTGCCTTATACTTGGACCAGTATAGCAGATATTTCAGAAAATAACCTTAATTTTTTTAATTCTCCTATTTTAGAACTATAGATTAGTCTTCAGGTTCCTATATACTATTTTCATATTGTATTTTCCTGCTATCAACTTTGGAGATGAAAGATTTTATTGCAAAGGGGGAGAAGTTATGATATAAGAACATTTCAGAATCTAAAATCTTTTCAGGATGCAATCCATATTGTATTATTAGTTGTGAAGGTAAGAAGGCCAGGACATCAATTGCGAAGAATACTACAAATCCTTTGTGGAATTCATCCTTTGTATTTTACCGGTCTTCAACTTCTAAACCGTTGACAATTAAGGTAATGTATTTATGTTACATTATTGCTTATATTTACTGATACTTCTGATTTAAATTTATTATTGGCGACATTTTTCTGTTGGTGTTCAGAAATGTTTAAAGTTATCGATTTTTAAAAATGGATTGGAATGTACATGGGAGATTCAAAATGTTTGTCAACTTTTGCTCACGTGAACTTACCTCTATCATGGCTGGTCTTATTGTATACCACTATGCCATCACACATTTCTGTCAGTGTTATGTTTAATCACTCAGGGGGCTGTTATTCTTAGGAACAGGGAGTAATTAGCAGTGGTGAATATCACAGACTGTTTGGCTGAATCATGTGGTTTACATAATCTATCATGCATCAACTTAGCAGTGTTCACATTTGTTATATTGAACATCGGCTCAGTTATTTGTCAGGCTTTGCATTTGTCTGCATTCTTTCAAGATTAAATATTATGTCATGAGAACACTTATGTGGTATAGCAACATAAGTAATGAAGACTGTTGAAGGGAACAAATTTGTCACTTTGTGGAAGTGTTTTTTGTAGATAAAATACAAAAATTTTGATATGCAGCAAAATGTTCAAGGATTGTTTCTGAACCACTATCTTTACTGACTGCTGAGACAAATCTTCGGACTGCTACAACCTTGTAGTTACGTTGCACTGTTGTCTCTACCACCACGGTGGTCTAGCGGTTAGAACACTGGGCTTGTAATACTGGGGTCCCGGGTTCAATTCCTGGTGGTGCTCAGATTTACAACTTGTGTTGGGCAAGGTCGTGGTCTAGGCATCACAGAGTTTTCCTTCGGGGTTTCCCCGGTTTCTCCGTGGCATCCCAACAATTACTCCACTTTCATCATCATCTCGCGAAAAGGGGTCACAACAGGAGCATTAAATGTCGCGGTCCCAATCGAACCCATATACTGATGGGTCATGAATCCTGCTAACCACCAATGCACACTATGCTGAATGGTGTGCTGGACACAAAAAAAAAATGTTGTCTCTTGGCTGACATGTCTCTTTTTTTGTAAATATTGATTTCTCGTGAAATATGACCAAGAACATGGTGAATCACAGTCAAGAAATAAGATACTTTATGTATTTGAAACATAGTTCTCACTGTTTTTGTTTCATGTTGTATCTCATTTCAGTATTGTGCTGAATGTATATTGTTAATAAATCAAACCTGTCATGATACGTGATCATATTCATGATTCTGACTGGTGATCCATGTTCAGACAGTGTGCAAGTTGTTTTACTACTGTTCTTGTGGTATTGTACATTTGTTAATAGCTTACATTATTTGGTCTGTTCGTCTGAACTGTATTTTTCAGATTTCAACACTACCAGACAGAGTATCTGGTTCTTGGGAATGAATTCTGAATGTACAATTCCTTGGAATGCAAAAAGACAAATTAACATTGTCAATATTTTTTCCTTTGACATATACACATTTCTGATGATGACGTGATTGCTGAATTTCTTGTCGTTTTGAACATGATGGATATCGGAATAAATTTCATATGCTACATATTTTCCTTTAAAATTTACGTATTTTGGGACTTTCTTGAGGATGCATATGATCCAGCAGGCCATGCCTGACTATGTTGCAGTAACAGACATTTAAATTGTTAAATCCACAATTAAAGTGTGGCCAGCAGCCCTGTACTCTTCAGGGGCACCCTTATTGTAAAGGTTTAAAATATTTTGTAGAAGTTATATTTGTTGTTGTTTCAGCAGCATTAATTTATTTATTGTAGAGATTATAATGGAAGTGCTGCTTTTGCAATAGGTTTACAGTCATCGAGCACTGCTTAGAAACACGTTCCTTGGACAAGTTGGAATCCCAGCACCATTGAACCATGAACCAACACTTCTTCGGGCTGAATTGTCATTAGATGACTCCACAGAAGGGTCCCTAGAGCTATATGTACTCACTGATGATAACTTCTTAACAGTATAGTTCATTGGAAAATTAAAATTAAGTAAATTACATAAAAGAAAAGGGAAAAAGTAGGAACTTTATGAAACACACAAATGTGGAAGACAGCATGTAGACTTTTTTCGTTTTACAATTTAGACTGTGTTCTTATTTAAGAAACCTTTATTTTCATACAGGATATTTGGTAGCCACACCATGGCATGGTCTTTCTTCTATGCACAGTCACTACATAATTTGCTGCAAATTATTGCAATTTAGCAGCGATAAAAAAGGGAAGTAGTATTATATATCATTGTGACATTCGTGTATGACACAGTGTACAGTCAATGAAGATATTTAAGAACTAAAGTCTGTCAAACCATTTCACGCATGGAAGAATTCACAGAAATGTCTCATGTATCTAAATAAAAACTAAAGTGTGTGAACCAAAATCTGTGCAAAAAATGTGGAGAATGTGTTCAGAGCAATAGTGAACATTTTCAGCATCCCCTGTAATATAGGTAATTAAACTTACTTTGTGATGTTGCTACAGTTCATCATCACAGCTGACCAGCTAGAAGTGGGAACAACTAACACAATGATCATGCATAGTAGAAGGGCCATGCCCCACTGTAGCCACCAGCTACCCTTACTCTATATTTCCATGGCCACATAATTTCTGTAGTTGAAGAGTGCAATACTGTATAGACATCCTTGGTGAAGCAATTGTTTGTTTTGAGTTGGTAGAGTCATGTCAAGATATGAATTTGATGAAGGGCAGGATGTCATTATAGCTCCCAGAATTGTATATAAATTAATGCAGTGGTGTTCAGGTTGATGACATTAGTTGCAGTTTGAAAGTCAACCCAGCAGAGATTGCATTTCTGATTATGTGACAGACTGGAATTGTCTCCCAGAACAATTTTAAGTGAAGGAATAAGGCTGCCTATGCTGTTATTTGCCTTTATATAGCCCAGTGAGTGCACTACAGGATTCAGAGTACAGGATCTAACCTTTAGTCATTATAATTTAAAGCTACATTACTGTTCCTGGTCTTGTGCAAGACATGCAAACACTTAAGCTTGTTTATTTTTTAAATAATGCAACTGTTTTGCTATACATAAACTACTGATTACAGTTTAATTATCATGTAGTGTAGTTACTGTGTAGTTTGTAGGATAGGTTGCACATACTAACTAACTAGGTGGCTTATGGAACCTGAAGGTTCATCACCGAATTAACCTAAGCCCTTCACTGGACCCTGTCCTGGACCAACAAAATCCAGTCTCCTTCAATTCTTATCTCCCATAGATCCCACCTGACATTATCCTTCCATCTACGTCTAGGTCTCCCCAGCGGTCTTCCCATCAGGCTTCCCAACCAGTACCCAGTGCACACCTCTTACCCCCTCAATGTGTGCCACATGCCCCGCCCATTTCATTCTTCATTCATCATTATGCAGTTTTCTCCATACCCCATCCTCTTCACTCCTAGGCCCAAATATCCCCTTCAACACCCTGTTCTCAAACACCTGCAATCTATGTTCTTCCCTGAGAGTAGGAAAACCATGTTTCACACCCATACAAAACAACAGGCAACATTATTGTTTTCTATATTTTAATCTTTAGATTCTTAGAAATCAGTGGGAAGACAGAATGTTTTGATGATCTGAAAAGTGACAATCATTGCAGAATTTAGTCTCCTCCTTATTTGCTTATGAATATTATTTTGATTTCTTATTGTTTTCGCCAATTATATGAACTTTGTCACCCTTTCGAAGGATTTATTAGCCACCCTAATATGATTTTGCCCTCTTGTCTACTGATGGAATACTAACAAGTACTTAGTTTTTTCTGGATTTACTTCTAGCCCCACCTGTCTACTAGCCTCTAGTAAAACTTCTGTGTTCCTCTTTATTGTATTTGTATCGTCCCCCAGTAAATTAACTTCATCAGCATATGCCAATAGCTGATGTGTCCCATTCAATTGCAAACCCTTCTGCCTATCTTGGACTTTCCTGATGGCATATTCTAGCGCGAAGTTAAAGAACAAGGGAGACAAAGCATCTCTTTGTTTCAGACCGTTCTTGATGAGGAATGTCTCAGATACATATTTACCTATACAAATTTTGCTACAGGTTTCATATAAGCACATTTTTATTAGACTCCCTAGCTTTTATGGTGTACCAAATTCAATGACCATATTGTATATCACTTCTCTTTTAAGAGTTGTAGGCTTTTTTGAAATCTGTAAACAATTGATGTAGGTCCCACTGCACTCCCATTTTATCTCGAATGCAGAAGATCTGATGAGTTGTTGATCTGTATGTCTGAACTCACACTGATGATCCCCAATAATTTTATTCACATATGGAGTTAATCTCGCCAGAAGAATGTTTGATAGAATTTTGTATGAGGTTTATAGTTGAGAAATTCCTTGGTAATTATGACACTCACTCTTGTCCCCCTTTTATGAATAGGAATAATTATGGATTTCATCCATTGTTGTGGCATCTGTTCCTAATCCCAAATTAACTTAATAAGCTTATGGATCTCCTATTCCAACGTTTCAAAACCTGTTTTAATTAATTCTGCTTGAATTTGATTACTGCTTTGAGATTTTATCTTTTCAACTTTGCAATGGCTAGTTCAACTTCATCTAAACTAGGTTCTGGCACCAACAGTTCAACTGTATGTATTTTAATCTGTCTAAGATCACCAGTCCCATGAACATTTAAGAGCTGGTTAAAGAAATGTTTCCACTTATTCTAAATTTGTATTGGATCTGCCAGTAAGTTGCCGTTATCATCCTAGGTTACGTGTAGTACTGAGTGTTTAATTCTTTTAGTGATCTATCGTATGGGCACAAAATTATTGATGGAGATCTCAGACTGCATCTTTTACTAGTAAATATTTGAGGAAAAGGTGCAAAGAACAGTTTTACTTGCATTCTCGTGACAGCCCAGATACCACATTATGCATCACAATTTGTGAGCATATATGCGTGTGGTTCCAGTGGTTACAGTGTATTATGAAAATCCTTGTTTTAGTTAATGTATGATTGCTTATTTACCATATGTGTTAATATTTTATAGTACATACAATATTTATATAAGTATTTTAAGATTTTTGATACAGTATTATTTGTTCACATAATCTAGAAGAAAGGCTTGCCTAGTGATTGATTTTCCTCATTAACAAATTTTAAATTAAAGTGAAAATTTGGTATAATGCACTTATTAATACTGTGAATTTGGCTGCACTGCAGGTCATGTTACCTGCAGAAGAAGTTTTGTCACCTGATTTTACATTTTTAAGATGAATGAATAAGACAATCATATTGGTAGATCGTACCATTTCACATTTATGCAAGGAGTAATATATATGGGTATGGTTATTTATATAATGTTTGATCAGTGAAAGCTGTGAAGATGCACATATCAAGTTGAACTTTCTGAATTAAACAGCCGTTTATTCTGTAATTTAAATACTGTATCATTTGAATGAACAGGGTATCCAGAAAAACATTCAACAATTTCGATGTATGGTATGTTCATAATTTTCTAGGGTACAGTACATCTTATACATAAATTAAAACCTATTTTCGTGGAGAATTCTCTGCCAGACCCGGTCTCACGGACAATGTCTCTGTCGGACACGGTCTCTGACAGACCCCGGTCTCTGGCAGACCCTGCCACTACCGGACTTGGTCTGCACCTGACCCTCGCTCTCACGGTCAAGGTGTGGCAGGGATTGAGTGTTAATAATTTCAACATTTTTCGGCTTTTCAAAAAAATTAAAAAATTCGGAATTTGTACAAAAAGCGCAGATATATTAAAATTATTGAAAATCTTTCAAAGCTGAAATTCTCCGAATTTTTATTTTTCTGCACTTTTCTAACAAATTCCGAAATTGTATTTTTTTGAAAATTTTGAAAATTTTTAAATTTTTTTTGAAAATTTTGTTAACTCCATATCTGCCAGACCATGTCTGTGGCTGACATGGTCTCTGCTGTACCCGGTTTCGCCTAGACCGGTTCTCTGCCGGACCCGGTCCCTGCCTGACCCGTTCTCTGCCGGATCCAGTCTCTGCCCGACTCCATCTCCGTCATACCCAGCCTCACCCAGACCCGGTCTTTGCATGACCCGGTCTCTGCAGAGGCCTGTTGCTGCAGACACCGAGGGAGACAGCAACCGGGTGAGAGAGAGGCCGAGTCCGGCAGACAGGGTGAGGCATTGAACGAGGCTGGGATGCGTCTCTTGGGGAGAGTTTTGAAAAAAAAAATGAAAATTTTCGAAAACTAAAAAAATGCTGAAAATTGTCTGAAAAGCGCACAAAACGAAAACATTTTGAAAAAATTTTAAGGTGGAATTTTTCAATTTTTTTTGTTTTGTGCGCTTTTTGGACCATTTCCAGCAATTTTTGGATTTTTCGAAAATTTTAAAAATGTCTTTCAAATTTCTCCCCACCTGATGCTTTGCAGAACCGGTCGCTGTCGGACTGTATCTGATGTACTGTGTCTCTGACGAACGCGGTCTGTGCCTCACACGGTCTCTGACATGCCGTCTCTGAAAAGCCCAGTTGCGGCAGACACCACCACGTAAGGCAGAGACCGAGTGGGCAGAGACACGGTTGTTCACACACCGAGTCCTGGAGAGGCCAGTTGCTGCAGACATCGAGGGACCCAGCAATCGAGTGAGAGAGAGGCCGAGTCCGGCAGACAGGGAGAGGCATTCAACGAGCCTGGCATGCATCTCTTGGGGAGAATTTTGAAAAAAAATAAAAAAATGCTGCAAATTGTCTGAAAAGCGCACAAATAAAAATATTTGAAAAAATTTTGAGGGTGGAAATTTTAAAAACAATTGTTTTGTGCGCTTTTCTGGACCATTTCCGTCATTTTTTGATTTTTACAAAAATTTTCAAAATTCTCTCCACCTGATGCCTTGCAGAACTGTGACTCTGACGAACGGAATCTGTGCCTCACACGGTCTGTGACGTAACGTCTCCTAAGAGCCCAGTTGTGGCAGAAACCGAGACGGTCAGAGACACGATTGTTCACACACCGAGTCCTGCAGAGGCCGGTTGCTGCACACCGGGTGGGAGAGAGGCCGAGTGCGGCAGAGACAGTCTGAGACATTCACCGAGAATGGCATGCATCTCTTGGCGAGAGTTTAGAAAGATTTTTCAAAATTTTTGAAAAATAAATAAATGCTGAAAATTGTCTCAAAAGCGCACAAAACCAAAAAAATGAGTATTTTTTTTAAAAAAATTAAAGTTGAATTTTTCAAAAAAATTCTGTTTTGTGCGCTTTTTAGACAATTTAAGTATTTTTTGGTTTCTTCGAAATTTTTTAAAAAATTCTTATTTTTCCCCAAGAGATACATGCGAAACTCTATGAATGCCTCAACCAGTTGCTGCCTTCCTCTATGTCTCCAACAACCGGCCTCAGCAAGACTCTGCTCTCTGCAGGTCCGTGTCTGCCTCACGTGTTGTCGGCCGCACATGGACTTCTCAGAGACGGCACGTCAGTCCTGTAATACAGAGACCGGTCCGTGCAGAGCACGAGTCAGGCGGAGACCGCATTCGTTAGAGACACAGTACATCAGAAACAGTGCGAGTGAGACGGGTTCTGCAAGGCATCAGGAGGTGAAATTTTGAAAATTTTCAAAAAATCGAAAAATGCTGGAAATTTTCAAAAAGCGCACAAAACCAAAAAAAAAAAATTGAAAAAATTCACCTTAAATATTTTTTCAAAATTTTAAAAAAAATTTCTTTGTGCGCTTTTCAGACAATTTCCAGCAATTTTTAATTTTTCGAAAAATTTGAAAAAATCCCTTATTCTTCTCCAAAGGATACCTGCGAAACTCTGTGAATGCCTCATACGGTCTCTGCCGGACTCGGCTACTATGTCACCCGGTTGCTGCCTGCCTCGGGGTCTGAAACAACTGGCCACTGCAGGACTCTGCTCTCTGCAGGTCCATGTCTACCTCACGTGTTGTCGGCCGCACCTGGGCTTCTCAGAGACGGCACGTCAGCCCTGTCGTACAGAGACCGAGTCAGGCACAAACCTCATTCGTCAGAGAGGCAGTACATCAGAAACAGTCCGAGCGAGACCGGTTCTCCAAGGCATCACCGGGAAATTTG